GCTCTCTCCAATTTCCCCAGCCATGGCAACCACAAATCTACTTTCTGCTTCTATAGATTTGCCTGTTCTGGACATTTCATATAAATAGAATCATACAGTATGTATGTGGTCTTTTGTGACCGGCTTCTTTCACTCAGCATAATGTTGTAGCTTGTATCAGCACCTCTATCTCTTTTTACTGCTGAATAAGCCCTGTAGTCTCTTGGAGTTTCCACTTCCTCGTCTGTAAAATCGTGTCTTTGTCTGTGAATGAAATGAGATAATGCACGTGTGGTGAATATGTCAATGAATTTGCCTCCCATTGTCCTTTTGGCTTTCCCTGAAATGCTGACTTTACCAGGGTAACACTTGGCTCAAGGGGATCCAGTCACTAGGTTGGCCATGATCATTCTGATTCTCCCTGGATAATTTGATGAGCCATAATTGAACAGCCATGATCAGGTGGTGATGGCGGCTGGAGGCCGAGTCAGTCCGAGGAGTAGGGAAGCAAGGAGGCTGGACCACAGGGAGAATGGAGCTGGCATGTGCAGAAGGAGCAGCTGCTCTTTCTTGCAAAGCCTGGCTGACTTTCTGTCTTCATTTCTTGGCGGTTCCCTATGTCCTTTCACTAAATCCTCCCTTCTCAATGCTAGTTTGAGAGGGTTTTAGTTCTCTGTGACAGAGGGCCAGGCAGGATGCCTGGTGCGGCGGGGCTGTGGTGAATGCTGCTCTCTGTATATTTATCTCACTCTTGCACAGAGGACTGGGGAGACCCAGGCCTCACATCCCAAGGCCAAGGCCTCTGCCCACTCTGGCCCCTGGCAGAATGGGCTCTCTCAGCCCCAAGTCTTTGTCCACTCGGGGACAGGACTGAAAATTTAACCTCTCCTTGGTGCCAGTGAAGAATTATCCTGGCGAGGCTCAGAGGGGCCACTTTTGCTTATGTCCCTAGCACTTGGGAACTGTAGGTCTGAACAGAACTCCTGGGTTTCCTAAGTTGCAACACGCTCAGGTCTCACTTAAGTTCTGCTTTCAAGGAAAAAGTGCTGACAGACGGAATCTGACCCACCGCTGGCTGCCCAGACGGTCACCTCCCTCGCCTACCTCCTCATCCCAGGATGGCCTATTCCAGAAAGCAATGCAGTTCTCCCAAGAGGAGAAGCTGTTCAAGTTCAGTCATTCTCAGGCTTTAGGGGTGGCGGTGCTCCTGCAGGTCCCAAGGGAGCCCCAGGGCCACAGTCCCAGTGACATCTGCCTAAGCAATGGGCCAGGGCAGGGGCAGCAAACTGGCCTCCCCACACTCAGGCCACCTACCTCCCCCAGGAGATGCAGCTCACCTGCCCTCCAACTTGGCCTCAAAATTGGCCACTGACTGCTCGTTGCAAAGACAACAGAGAAGGCCCTGAAGTGCAGCAAGGAGAGTCCAGAGGCTGTCCTTAGGCGGGACCAATCCCAGCTCAGCTGCTTTTCCAGTGAGTGAGGTGGACAAGCTTCTCAGCTGTGCTAAGACTTGGCCTTCTTATCTTTACAATAGAGATGCAGGCTTACACAAAGGCAAGGCCAAGTGCTTGCAATGGTCTGAAAGTGTCGATCATGTTGATTTAGGCTGCAGGGGCATGCCATTTGGACTGTGTTATGGATTGAAGCGTATCCCTCAAAAATGAGTGTCAGCTTGGCTAGGCCATGATTCCCAGTACTGTGTGGTTGTCCTCCATTTTGTGATCTGATGTAATTATCCGATGTGTTCTAAATCCTAACATTTATGATGTTAATGAGGCAGGATTAGAGGCCATTATGTTAATGAGGCAGGACACATTCTACAGGATTAGGTTGTATCTTGAGTCCATCTCTTTTTTTTGTTTTTGGAGGCCCCACTGGGATATGAACCCTTGAGTCAATCTCTTTTGAGATATAAGAGAGAGAAGTGAGCAGAGAGGAGAGGGACCTCCTACCACAAAGCAAGAAGAGCTGGGAGTGGAGCACACCCTTTAGACCCAGGGTCCCTGTGCTGAGAAGCTGCTAGACCATGGAAAGATTGATGACAAGGACCTTCCCCTGGAGCTGGTGCACTGAATTCAGGCTTCTAGTCTCCTAGCCTGTGAGAGAATAAATTTCTGTTGGTTAAAGCCATCCACTTGCGGTATTTCTGTTATAGCAGCCTTAGATAACTAAGACAGACTATGTGTCACAAAACCGTCTCCTGTCTCATGTCCAAGACCCTGGGAGGGTAAGAACCCAACAACTAAAACGTATGGGGGCTAAGTTCAGTGTTGATTCTCAGTACTAACTGAAAACTGACTCTAAAGTTTATAAGCCAGGTAAGTCAGACCTAGAAGAGGCCAGATAAAGAGTTAGGGGGCAGCATGAAGTAGTGGTAGGTGCTGGAGTACAGCTCTGCCATGTACTGTGGCACTGGACATGTTACTCCACCTCTCTGTGCCTCAGTTTCCTCGGTCATTAAAACAGGGTTATAATAATAAACCCTGTTGCCATCGAGTCAATACCAACTCATAGAGACCCTATAGGATGGTGTCTTAGTCATCTAGTGCTGCTCTAACAGAAATACCACAAGTGGAGGGCTTTACAAAGAGAAGTTTATTCTCTCACAGTCCAGTAGGCTACAGGTCCAAATTCAGGGCATCAGCTTCAAGGGAACGCTTTCTCTGTCGGCTCTGGAGGAAAGTCCATGTCATCAGTCTTCCTTTGGTCTGGGAGCTTCTCTGCACAGGAACCTCAGATCCAAAGGAGGCGCTCTGCTCCCGGCACTGCTTTCTTGGTGGTATGAGGTTCCCCTGTGTCTCTGCTCGCTTCTCTCTTTTATATCTCAAAAGAGATTGCATTAAGACACTAATCTTGTCAACCTCATCAGTATAACCTCGTCACAGTGATAGAATTTACAACACATAAGGAGATCGCATATAATCTCATCAGAGTGATAGAGTTTACAACACATAAGGAAATCACATCAGATTACACAAGCATACAACACTGGGAATCATGACCCAGCCAAGCTGACAGGTATTTTTGGGGGATACAACTCAATCCATGACAGATGGATTAGAACTGCCCCATAGGGTTTTGTAGGCTGAAATCTTTACAAAAGCAGACTGCTATATCTTTCCCCCATGGGGCAGCTGGTGGGTTTGAACCACTGACCTTTTGGTTAGCAGCAGAGCGCTTAGCCACTGCACCACCAGGGCTCCTATTACACTAATACAGCAAAACCTGTGAAAGAGGGAACCTCTGTAAGGCGGAAACCCTGTCAGAGAAGGAGACCTCAAATATTTTCCACTAAAATGAGCAATAGAAAAGTGGTAAGGCTGCACCCTGTCAAAGGTGGAAAACTTGCAAGACCTGGAAAAACCAGGCAGACCCACTGAGATGAATTCCGGCTCTCGTAGGTTTCACGGTAGTACTTACTTTGCAGGGGTGCTTGAAGACTTGATGAGTCAATGAAAGCAAAGGGGTTAGAATGTAGTAAGCACTCATTAAATGTTAGTATCCACGGGCCTGAACTCCTCCTCATCTGGCCCTTTGACTGGGGGCTGCCTTGTGGCCTCTCTTGCTTTGCCATTCAGAGTCCCCTCCGGGTGGTGGACAGAGGTCTGGCCTGGAGCCATAGGATGTGGTCTCTGATACCCTTTCAGTTATTGCTTCTTCCATTCAATCAATACTGGCCCACAGGGCACTCCTGTGTTCTAGGCCCTGTGCTCAGTTTGCTTTTAATAAAGACCTGTTGATTAATTGCTGTGTTCATGAACGTGACCTGGCGGCCCGGGTTATGAGGCCTACAGGGGCTCCTGAAACAGCTTCCAAAAAGGGTTTCCTCTACATCTCCCGTAAGAAAGTCTCTGCTCCTGACACAAGCCAACAGGTGGCTGACCTGGCTTCTGAGGAACTACAGAGGTGAGCTGGGTGTCCCATGGACCAGCGTGGTAAGGTCACAGTCACAGGTCAACGCTGGCTGAGTTCATGCTGGTAAATGGCTTTGTATAGACCAACACGTGGGAAAAACTCAGTAGACACAAGCTCTTCTTATTATTATGTGACAGAGATGGGTCAGAAACACTCCTGCCCCCTCCCCATCTCTTTTCCTCTGCCCTCTTCATCCCTCAAAAGGTCAAGGGAGCCAGGGGGATGGGTAAGGCTGTGCTTAAGGTCAGCTAGGTGGGCAGGGTCAGGCAAGGGGGCAGGGGGCATGTGCCAGCTCATGGTCCTTTCCTTCTGACAAGGGCGGGGCTGGGGGCCATGACTGCGGTGGCTACTGTGTCCCCAACTATTGTCGATTGAATTATGCCCCCTAAAATATATACTGAAGTCCTGGCCCTGGTACCTGTGAATGTGATCCGTGGTTTTGTTATGTTAATGAGGTCACATCAGAGTAGGGCGGATCGTAAACCTAATCACGTCTGAGTTATAAAAAGAGCAAAACAGACGCAGAGACACACAGGGGAAGATGCCATGCGAGGACAGATACACATGGCAGATGTGCCTTGCCTACAAGCAAGTATTGCCAGCTGCTAGAAGCCGAAGCAGACAAAGAAGGACCTCTCCCGACAGCCACACCCTGAATTCAGACTTCTAGCCTCTTGCTGTGTAAGAAAATAAACTTCTGTTCTTTAAAGCCACCCGTGTGTTGTTTTTGTGTTATAGCAGAACTAGGAGGCTGAGACACCAGCTCTCAGACCGCCACTCAGAGGGCTCTTGGTATTAGATTCAGATTCCTCCAGAGACCAAAGCCGGGGGGCCCCCAACAAGCCCCCCAGTGCCCTCAGACCAAACACAGTTGTGCATCGGACCCCCTGGGTAGCTGCTGAGAGGCGCCACTGGGGAGACCGGGGCATCTCCCTGGTCGGCGGTTCAGCAGCCTGGGATGCGGGTGGTCTCATGGGAGCTGGGACTCAGGATCCAGCCTGGTCTCAGCCTGAGGGCCTATTCCTCTGCACATGTGGCCACTGGGACAGCCTGGGGCCCCATCTCCTACAATCTCGCCCCTCCCCTGGCCTGTGGAGAGGACTTACCCAGGCCCAGGTTGGAGATGGTCTCCAGGTCTGTGAAGCTGCGAGCCTCGAGGATGGCCTGGGGTAGCCTCAGCGTGAAGGGCAGTAAGTCTCTGTGGGGACACAAGGGGTCAGTGGTCATGCTTGGGAGGGTCCGTGGTGTCCATTCCTCCAGCCCCCACCACCCTCAAACCCACAGCGTTCATGGAAGAGCTGCCACAGCCCTGCTGGCCGCTGGGGTCTCCAAGCAGATGGAGGACTTCCCTGGGGGCTGAGAGGCAGAGCCCTGGAGCTGAGGGAGCAGCTGGGTGGGGGCTTCACTGAGTATCCAGTCCTGTCTGGGTACCAGGGTGTGGGGACCTGCCTCTGCTTCTCCCTGGTTTTCCTGGCCCCTGGGACAAGCCCCAGGCTCCAAAGCCACTATCCTGGGTAGAGTGAGTGAGCAACCCTTTACCACCCTCTAACCCTTGCTGCTCACACTGAGATGTGCCAGTGAGCGGGCAGTCAGACATCCTCCGGTGAGCGCACAGTCAGGCTTCACCCAATGGGTGCACAGTCAGACATCCCCTGGTTAGCACACAGTCAGGCTTCACCCCGTGAGCACACAGTCAGACATCCCCTAGTGACTACACAGTCAGGCTTCACCCAGTGAGCACACAGTCAGACATCCCCTGGTGAGCACACAGTCAGACATCCCCTGGTGAGCGCGCAGTCAGGCATCCCCTGGTGAGCACACAGTCAGACTTGACCCGGGGGCACACAGGCTCTGTCCAGAGGGTTCACGGTTAGTCATTCCCCAGCAAGCACACAGCCAGAATTCACCCAGGGGCACACAGACACCATCCAGCAAGGACACAATGAGGCACCCCGTTCTATCTCAAGCCTTTGGTCTGAATGGGAATCGCCCGGGGCTCTTACCAGAGATGGAAGGGATTCAGACACCCTCACCCTTACTGCACAGGTGAGGAAACTGAGGCCAGAGAGGGAAGGGGATGTGCCCAGGCCGCGTGGTACATGAAGGGCAGAGTGTGCTCAGCCCCAGGCCTCCTGACTCCTAGGCCACGGCTTGTTTCACAGGCCTAGAAGGGGCGTGTGGCACAGCCGAGAGTCCCAGACTGGGTCCCAATTTACACATGGTCCTGGCATTCAAGGCCCATCAGGGCCTGACCTCCCTTTCCAGCCACATCTTCCACTCCTTCCTTATTATTCCAGCTGCTCTATTCTCTGAACTATGTCATGGGATGATGGCCCCCTTACAGGACCAAGGAGAGGATGCATGGACAGTCCTCAGCCCGGTGCTTGGCACCCAGTCGGTTCTTCATAGCTGGCAGCTGCCATTTTTACTAACAATAACCTATTCAGCCCTCCCTTGCTTATGCTCTTTCCTGCTTCTCCACAAACCCCAATTCCAATCACTAAGTTCTTGTCCATCCATCCTCAGCTGAGAAGCCTTCTCTGAGGGCCCTCAGCCAGAGTGGTCTCCCTGGGGCCCTGGTGGCTTCTCTGCACCACACCCACCACCTCTGGTCTTCTCCCTGTTAGCACTGTGCTGTGAGCCCTCCTGGGGGCAGGGGGTGGGAGGCACCCAACTGTATGGTCTCGGACACCTAATGGTCTAAGTAAACCCCAGAGGCTCAGCGAGTATTTGCTGAATGGACTAATTCAAATTTAGGGAACTGAATGGAAGGAGAGCCGGGCAGAGACCTCCTGGGACAGGGCTGGCAGAGATTCCAGAACCATCTCTGCTGCCCCAGTCTCCTCCACTCAGCTACCAGGCTTCCCAGAACGCCCCACGCCCTTTGAAGAAGCGCTTTCACAGGCGAAGGACACTTCTATTTGAGGAGGAGCAGGAAGGGGAGGCTGTGGCAGAAGATTCTAGACCCTTTTGTCAGGTCCTGGGATGTGGCTTTGGCCAGCTGCCACCCCAGCCCCCTGCTCCACTGTAAAATGGGGTGCAGTTGCTCAGCCACCTACGCAGCTTTCAGTCTCATAGTTGTGTGATCCCCCTGCAAACCCGAGGCCTCTGGCAGCTGCCTGTCTGTCCCCTCTCCAGGTAGACCAGCGCAGACTCAGGCTGGACAGGCCCTCAGTGCTCGCTCCCATCGCAGGCCCTGCCCACCATCACCACCACAAGAGCCTCTAACTGCGAAGGGTGATGAAATTCATCCTTATGTCACCTCTGTTCACCTGGCTGGCTGTCCAGTCTGCCACTGGGGATCAACAATTCTAATGATTCCTCTGTCACTGTTTTTATCGTAATGGCCAGCAGGGGGTGCTCAACTCATCTGGTACCCACCCCCTCTCCACCAGGACAATCGCTTGGCAGCCCCTCACCCACCTCCTCAGTCTGTGGCTCACGCCCTAGCCTTGAGCCCTGGCCTCCAAGGTCTTCCCCAGTCTGGTCCAGTCTGCCTCAACCCCTACTTCTGCCCACCCCAAATCCTTCCCTCCCAGTGCCTCCCAAAAGGCCACGCTCACTCCCTATTGTGATTATGCCTGAGTGGGTCCCACCTCTGGACAGAAGCCCCCTCCTCCTTTTCACCTCTGTCTACTTAGACTCCACCCCCACCACGGGCCCCCCAGGGACCTCCTCCTCCATGACCCAGTTCTCAAGGACTTCATTCTTCCCTACTTCCCACGTGCCATCCATCAGCATTTCACCCAGGGGCCACTTCTTCTAGACAAGTCAAAGGAAAAGCATGATGTGTGTGTTTGTTGAGGACCTACTATGTGCCAGGTACCGGACGAGGTGTTTTACAGGCCTTAGAGCCCTGGTGGCGCAGTGGTTAAGAGCTTGGCTGCTAACCAAAAGGTCGGCAGTTCAAATCCACCAGCTGCTCCTTGGAAACCCTATGGGGCAGTTCTACTTTGTCCTGTAGGTTCACTATGAGTCAGAATTGAGTTGATGGCAATGGGTATATCACATGACTGGTCACTGAGTGGTACCAATGGTTTGTGCTGGACTACTAACCTAAAGGTTGGTGATTCAAACGCACCCATCGGCACCATGGAAGAAAAGCCTGGCAATCTGCTTCTGTAAAGATTACAGCCAAAAAAAAAAAAACCCTAAAGAGCAGTTCTACTCTGCAACACATAGAGTTGTCATGAGCTGGAATCAGCTTAACGGCAATGGATTTAGTTTTTGGTTTTTATATCACATGATATTACATTAGTGTTATTATATCACATCAACCCTATGAAAAACCTGTTAGTTGGCACTTTGTTGTTTCTGACTCAGTGAGCCTACAGGACAGAGTAGAACTGCCCCATAGGGTTTTCTAGGCTGCAGTCTTTACGGGAGCAGATTGCTACATCTTTCTCCCAAGGAGTGGCTGGGAGTTCGACCTGCTGACCTTTCAGTTAGCAGCCAAGCAATTGACCACTGTGCTACCAGGGCTCCTTTCAACCCTATGGATAGGTTTTAATACCTCTGCTTTACAGCCGATGGCACAGAGGCTCAGAGAGGTTAAGGAATTTGTCCAAGACTACCCAGCGGTATAACTTTCTGACAGAAACATTGAAACGTTTTAAAACCCAGAATAATGCAAACCCTGATTCTATTCAGGGCAATATCTTCGCCAGAATCACAAATCACTTGCTGTTGTTAGGTGCCATCGAGTTGGTTCCGACTCATAGTGACCCTGTGTACAACAGAACAAAACACTGCCCGGTCCTGCGCCACCCTCACAATCACTGCTATCTTTGAGCCCATTGTTGCAGCCACTGTGTCAATCCATCTCATTGAGGGTCTTCCTTTTTTTGCTGACCGTCTACTTTACCAAGCACGATGTCCTTCTCCAGGGACTGAGCCCTCCTGATAACATGCCCAAAGTATGTGAGACGAAGTCAAACAATGCAACAAAGTCAAACAACACAAAAGTGTGTAAAATAAAGCGTGTACCTTTGTCACTGAGCACAGGCGCCACTGGGACAATGAGCTCAAGTGGAGGAGTGGGACGCTTGGTTGTGGTTCTTCTAGAATTGGGAGGAAAACTGGCCCCATCAACTGGGATCTTTTACTTTTGAGCTCGTGCTCATAGGCATTGTGTGTGGGACTATAAATTGGTATAGGCTGTGAGGAAGACTCAGTTTGGCATATGCTGTCATTTTTCAACTATACATACCCTGGGGCCCCGCAGACCACATCTAGGAATCTATGCTTTAGGAATGCTGGCGCCACCTGGTGGGCGTCTGTGTGTCTCCTTCCCTATTCCTGGAGGGTGGGTCAGGGGCTCTTCTTGGGGCCTCTGAGAGGTGGGGTTGAGGGCTGCTTCCTTCTGCCCCAGCCAACTGGCCTAACCAGGACCATCTGACGGCAAGACCGTGTTTGATAAGGTCATTCCTTGCTCCAGCTAAGGTAGCCGGCAAGGCAACTCCAGAGACAATGATAATCGTTTCCTTCCCTGGGGAGTGCAAATGATTAACACGCTTAGCTGCTAACTGAAAGTTTGGCAGTTCAAGTCCACCCAGACGTGCCTCGGAAGAATGGCCTGGTGATCTATTTCCAAAAAATCAGCCCTTGAAAATCCCATGGAGCACCTTTCTACTCTGACACACATGGGCTCACCATGAGTCAGAATCCACTCAATGGCAACTGGTTTACTGGTATTTCAAAGGTAAGGAGGACCTTCTGACCACCTTGCACCCTTCCCCTTCACCCAGGGAAGAAGGTGGCAGCTCAGCCACAACGGGGGGGGGGTCCACGGGACTCCTCCCCTTCCTTCCTCGTTCCAGTTAATGGCACTGTCATCCTAGTCTTACCCGGGATAGAGACCCTGGCATCTGCCTGGCTCCCCTGCTCCCCCTACTCCTCTTTGCAGTGGCTGCCCTACCCCTCTCAGTTCCCGCAGCCACTGCCCAGGGCAGACTCCTCCACATAGGGTCTGGATGGCTGCTGTGGCCCCTAATTGATCTCCACTCTCCCCTTGCCTCCATCCACCGCCCGCTGTGTCCGTGTCTCTCTGCTGAAGGACGGTCTAACTGTGAGCTCAACATGGCACCTGCAGAAGACAGACCCAGCATCTCCTTGGCACAGCATTCGAGGCCCCCCAAGCATGTTACCTCCCACCCATGTGTCTGGTCTCCCCATGAAGCTGACCTGAGGCTGTCCAGAGCTTTCCAACTTCCAGGCTGCTCCCTCGGCCTAGAACTTTTTTCCAGCCCATCTTTGCCTGGTCCCTGATGCCACCTCTTCCACAAAGAGGGCCTCGACTCTCCCCTATGTGGGCTCAGAGGGCTGCAGGGGGCAGCACCACATGCTGCCTCTTGGCTGGGGCGAAACATGCAGTAGGACATCCTTGGATTCAAGGACATTCTTGGACTTAAACCTGGCTCAGGACTTGGCTGGACAGCCCGAGGCAGGTGACACGCCCCGGAGCCTCAGCCTCCTTGTCTATAACAGCAATAAGACCCTCTTGATCATTTCCTGAGCACCTCCTCTGTGCCAGGCACTCTGCAAGGCCCCTTACAAGGATCCTCACGTGGAATCCTCACCGCAACCTTGGGGGCGGGAGTCGTTAGCCTCTGAAGTGAGTCTGCGGATAACAACGCCCGCTCTGCAGGACCGCTGTAAGGACTGGAGAGAACCCTGCGGGCAGGCCCAGCGCAAAGCTCACCAGTGGGCACTCCTTGCAATAGACACTGTTGGCGCTCCATCCTTTACCTGCTCTGCGCACCCATTGCCCCATCTCTGCAGGATTGGCTCCTGAGGGCCAGCACCCTGTGACCCTCAGAGGCTTGCCCTGAGTGCTGGAGCCTCAACCACATAAAAAAAAACCACACCCATTGCCGCTGAGTTGATTCCAACTCATAGCCACCCTATAGGGCAGAGTAGAACCGCCCCACACGGTTTTATAGAGGGTCCCAAATGCCTGGGAGTGTCCCACCCTGCAGCCATGGGGGACGACTGGCCAGCCTGGGGACACAAGAGCCCAGCTCCCTGGCCTCAAGGTGGGACGATGCTGAGGTCTGATTTATACTCCAGAGCTACCCCCAGTGCCAGGCTGGGGCCTCACCTGAAGTCACACCCTTGCTTGCCTTCTCTCCCTTCCCTGTCCTGCTCGCCCACCCCCTTGCTGCTTTCTCCTTGGGGGCTGTTATGGATTGAACTGTGTCCCCCAAAAATGTGTGTCAACTTGGCTAGGCCATGATTCCCAGTATTGTGTGGTTGTTCTCCATTTTGTGATCTGATGTAATTATCCTAGTATTGTAAATCCTAACCTCTGTGATGTTAATGAGGCAGGATTAGATGCAGTTATGTTAATGAGACAGGACACAATCCACAGGATTAAGTTGTATCTTGAGTCAATCTCTTTTGAGATATAAAAGAGAGAAGTGAGCAGAGAGGAGAGGGACCGTCTACCACCATGAAAGAAGAGCTGGGAGTGGAGCGCGTCCTTTGGACTCAAGGTCCCTGTGCCGAGAAACTCCTAGACCCGGGGGAGATTGATGACAAGGACCTCCCTCCAGAGCTGACAGAGAGAAAGCCTTCCCCTGGAGCTGTGCCCTGAATTCGGACATCTAGCCTCCCGGACTGTGAGAGAATACGTTTCTGTTTGTCAAAGCCATCCACTTGTGGTATTTCTGCTAGAGCAGCACTAGGTGACTAGGACTGGGGCCACGCCCTTACTCATCACTGGCATGTGAATCTTCATCTCAAAGGTGGCCTCCAGGAGACCCCTGGCTAAGCCACTCATCCCATTCCCCTAGTCCATTGCCATCGAGTTGATTCCAGTTCATGGTGACCTCACGTGTGACAGAGTAGAACTGCTCCATAGCTTTTCCTGGCTGTAATCTTTATGGAAGCAGACCACCAGGTCTTTCTTTCATGGTTCCGCTGGGTGAGTTCAATCTGCCAGCCTTTTAGTTAGTAGGTGAGTGCAAACCCTTTGAGACAAAGCAGTTCCCAAACCCTAGTCTGCAAGGAAACTTGCTATAAATGCAGATTCCTGGGCCCCACCTCAGACCCTCCGAGTCAGAATCTCCGGGGTAGGGCCCAGGAGTCTATTTTTAGCCAGCTCCTGGGGACTTTGGGATCCAGCCAGGTCTGGGAAGCCTCTCTAGAACCTCCCAACAGCCCACTACCCAGTCTGGAGCACTGAGGTTGGGGTGAGGCTTGGGTTGTGAGTGCCTTGAAAGCAGAACCTCTGCCCCTTCACCTCTGACTGAGGACAGAGGCTGCGGGGGAGCACAGAACACGCTTGGGATGACAGCAGGATTGAGGAGGAAGAGGGCTGCATGCCTGTGAGCCTTCATCATGATGCCTGACCCCTCAAGGATGGCCCTGTAACCCGGGCGTGTGCTCTTACGGACAGGCAGCAGCTCAGGTCACAGGGCCCCATGTGCCCACTGATGGACGGCTCTGTGCAGAGAAGGGGTGGGGTGGGCTTGCTTGGGGCCAGCCTGAGGCTCAGTGTGGTGTCTTGTGAAGACACTTGTCTCAGGCCATGACTGATGAGCATTTATCAAACCCCTCCCCACCCCACCCCCCACCATGCAGAGGCCTGCAGTGACACAACCAAAAGGCTAAACCCATTGTCGTCGAGTTGATTATGACTCACGGTGACCCCGTGTGTTGAAGAATAGAACTGCACCATAGGCTTTTCTTGGCTGTAATCTTTATGGAAGCAGATCACCAGGCCTTTCTTCGGCAGTGCTGCCGGGTGGGTTCCAACCGCCAGCCTTGCAGTTAGCAGCCAAGTGCAAACCCTTTGCCCACCCAGGGCCCTGCACGTGACACAAAGGGGCATGAAGGGTGTGTCTTTGGTGCCCCCCCAGTGTCTGGTTCTGAAGGAGTCGGCTGGGCAGGATCTGAGGATGGGAGCACCAGAGCTCAAGGACTCCGGTGTCCATCCTGGCTAACACCCCCTGCTAGAGGAGGCAGCAGGGCCGGGACAGGCCAGTGAGTTGCCTGAGGTCATGCAGCTATGAGGCAGCAGGTCTCCAACCCCAGCCTTGGGCTCCTCCCCCGCAGTATCTCACTCCTGAGATGCTCACAGACTCAGGCCTTGGAGCTGACACCCCCTCAAATACAGGAGTGCCAGACTCCGGGTCCTGTGACCTCCTTGTGAGCTCCCTGGGAGCCTGCAGGTGGGTGAATGGGCACTCACATTTCTTAACTCACTTTTCCACTTGCTCATTGTTCACGTATAAAAACCCGGCTGGTTTTTTGTGTGCTAACGTCATACCCTGCCACCATGCTGATTCATTTATTCTCTGTAATAGCTTTCTTCTGGAGTCTTTGGGGTTTTCCACGTATAGGATCATGTGGTCTGCAAAAAGAGGTAGTTTTACTTCCTCCTTCCCAATTTCGATACCTTTTTGCCCTACCCTAATTGCTCTGGCTGGGACTTCCGACACGATGTTGACTAGCAGTGGTGAGTGGGCGTCCTGTCTCATTCTCAATCTTAATGGGAAAGCCCTCAGTCTCTTCTGACACCTGCTTCTCTGGGCTGTGAAGAAGCAGCAGCAAGAGGAAGAAAGGCTGGGAGGTGGCAGCAGTGGCCTTGGTGACTGTGGCTCAGATCTCCCGGATGCAGAGGAAGCTGCCCCAGCAATCACTCCCCACATGGTCTGGCCCATGGAAACAACCAGAGCACCTACTGGGTGCCCCGAGTGTGCGTCCCTGTACATGCATTCTCTCCAGCATCTACACCATCAGTACCATCATTCCCATCTTACAGAAGAGAAAGTTGAGGCCAAGAGAGATTAAGTAACTACCTCAAGTTCGGGGGTTTGCAATGCTGCATTCGTTCATTCATACACCTAGCATATGCCAAACAGTCTGTAGTGTGTACAGTATGTACGCCTTCTAGTAAGGTCAGAACTTGTTGGAAAAGGAACAAGACTGTCTCCTCCTGAAAGCTTGACATGACATAATGTACAAAGGGCCAAGGAGCCTCTGCTATTTCGTCTGTGGGCAAATTATTCTGTAGGTCATCAGAATTATTGGGGGATATACACAGTGGGGCTGGTCTAGCAAAGAGCGTGGACCTTGGAGTTGGCTCTAGTTTGAATCCCTGCTCTGCTATTTACCAGATGTGTGACCTTGAGCAAGTTACTTCTCTCAGTCTCAGTTTACTCATCTGTAAAATGGGAATAACAAGAGCACTTACATACCTTGTGGAATTGTTCGGAAGATGTAAAAAGATAATGGGTGTGAGAGCTCTGAGCACAGTGCTGGGCCCCTGGAGAGCCCTCAACACAGAGGCAGTCATTAGCACTGCCTACTATTATCAGCATCACCTTTTCTGCCCACAGGGCACAGGTGGGTCCTGGTAGGTGGGGAGGGGCGTTCACCTGAGGCAAGTGTGGACAGTCTCTTTGAAGCAGGGACAAGTGGACCTAGAGCCCCGGATCCCAAGACATTCTGCCCAAACTCTAGCTAGCCCTTGCCAAGACACTGTAGTTTAAGCCCTTGGTTGATGGCACCAAATATATCTTTAAGTTCCTGTTGACCTGAAACTAGTTCTAAATCACCAGGGCAGACTCAGAGGGTAGTTACCAGACACTCACTCCACCCAGCTGCTGCTTAGCAATCACAAGCTCCCTCCCACAGGGATGGGGGGTATCAACACCTCCTACTGTCCCTGCAGAAAGCTCCCCTATCCTGCTGCAGGGCTGAGATCAGGTCCACACAGGACTCAAGCTGTCCATGACGATGGCCAACAGGAAGTTGGGGTGGGGGGCAGTGAGCCAGGGACGGGTCCTTACCAGCTGATCCAACAAAGCCCCAATGTCAGCATGTCCTCCCATGACTACCAGGATAAAGGCAGGGGTCTGCCCCTCTCTCTGCATCCTCGAGGCTACACCCTTCCCTTTGGGGGTTTCCTGGCCGCCCCAAGGTTGCGGGGCACATCTGTTGCCCCCGAGTGATCAGAGCACCTGCCCTTAGCACGGCTGGGTCTACTCACCTACTGACGCAGTAGAAGGCGATCAGTCTGAAGATGTCCTCAAACACAAGAACCGAGCCTTCCAGGTACAAGACTGAGGAGAGATGAGAAAGGCTTTGGATGAGAGGCCTGCTCAGAGGGAAAGAGGGGGCGGCCCCCAGGCAGGGGCCATGTCTGTTCACTGTGGGTCCCGGCGCCTGTCACAGGGCCTGGCCTGCTGCACTCCATCCACGTCTGCTGCCAGCTGCACCTTAGGTCAGTGAGAAATGAACGTCCATTGTGTCAGAGGAGGCCCTGGGCGGTGCACATTGTTCAAGTGCTCGGCTGCTAACCGAAAGGCTGGAGGTTCAAGTCCACCCAGAAGCACCTTGAAAGAAAGGCCTGGCAATCTGCTTCTGAAAATTCAGCCATTGAAAACCCGACGGAGCACAGTTCTCTGACACACACGGGATTTGACAGCAACTGGAAATTGCATTAGAATCTCCACTGAGATTTCAGGGGATTATCTATGATAGCTGCTCCTGATAGCTTAACTAATACACACTCATCTTTTTTTTCTTTTGGTGAAATAACACAGATGGTTCTAGGCTGAAAAACAGAATTAAAAATGAAATGGACCAGTGTCCTTTCACAGAGCAGTCTTACACCCTGCCAATTCTGAGGCCTACGAGGGACCAGCGGGAGGGAAGCTGCCCGGTTCTGCCTTAGCTTCCGGGAGGTACATCAGTCCAGGGGCAGTAAACTGGGTCCGTGGGTCTTCTACCCAAGAGCCCCAGGGCCCATTAGAGCTAGCTTGATTTGGCTGAATGGTAATCCAAGGTGAGGGTGGCTCAACATTTTACAGCTCTGACAAGGCAAAGGAATAGAAACGTTTGAAGGCTCCCAGGATGGGCTGACTCCTGGAGACTTGGGGCCATATCACACACCTGGCTTAGCCTCGAGGCAAGGGACCCAGGGCAGCGAAGTAAGTAGTTTGAGGCCTCACTGCTCATTGGTGGTCGAGGCAGGCGTCCACCCCTATGATCCTGACTCATTTCAGTGCTCCCGGCGCCCAACAGTGAAGCTCTCGAGCTTGGGTCCCCAACCATGAACTTTCTTGGGCATCAGAGGAACCAAGAAACACGTGGACATCACACTTTTGTTCCAGTTTCCTGAGGTTCTTCTAGCTTCCATGTGGTGGAGGGGGAAGGCAGGACCCAGGTTCCAGGCCGGCTGTGACCCGGCGACTGGCAGTGTGACCCTGAGTACCTCCTTCCCCTCTCAGAGCCTCAGTTTCTCCATCTACAAAGGGAAGGAGTCTTTCCAACTGTAAAAACACACGCATCCTGGTGACATCAGTCTGCCGGCTGCTTTCAAAGCCCAGGACAGCATTTCACTGCATGGGTAGTCTGCGAGATGGTTGTAGGGGGTACACGAACCAACATGCTTTGGTTTAATAGCTTTATTTCTAGATTCACCTTCCTCCTACATCCTAAGCAATGTTCTAAACAGTTAACATGATTTAAAAAAAAATTTACATTCATCTATTTACGGCGAAAAAGCATCATGTTTGATAAAGTGAAGGGTCAGCAAAAATGAGGAAATCCCTCAATGAGATGGACAGACGCAACAGCTACAGCAACGGACTCAAGCGTATCGATCATCATGAAGATGGCGCAGGACCAGGCAATGTTTCGTTCTGTTATACGCAAGGTCGCCATGAGTCGGAGGTGACTCAGCGGCAACTAGCAACAACAAATTTATCTTTCACATTAGGATAGATATATCCTAAAACTCACCTTTAAAAAGGTGAGTTTAAAGAAAAATCTTAAGTATGTTACAGTACAGGAGGTACTTGGAAGATGCCTATAAACGACTTAATCTGAGAAACGTCAGTATGTTGTATGTATTACCAAAAAGCCACTGCTGTCGCGTCGATTCCAACTCATGGTGACCCCTTGTGTTCCAGAGTAGAACTGCTCTATAGGGTTTTTTTGGCTGTAATCTTTACAGAAAGGAGCTCTGGTGGTGCAACAATTAAGCACTCGGCTGCTAACCAAAAGGTTGGCAGTTTAAAGCCACCCAGTGGCTCTGTGGGAGAAAGACCTGGAGATCTGTTCCTGTAAAGATTACAGCCATGAAAACCTTACAGGGCATTTCTGCTCTGTCACATGAATCGAAATAGATTCGATTGACAGCTCGTAGAACAACAACAACAATCTTTATGGAAGCAGATCACCAGGCCTTTCTTCTGTGGCACTGCTGGGTGGGTTCAAACTACCTATCTTTAGGTTAGTAGTCAACCGTTTGTGCCACCCAGGGACCTGGTTGTATTACCACAGCGCCACCTGGTGCTTGCTTTTGACGCAACACCTACTTTCTCCACAAGAAGCAGCAGACTGCAGCCATTGAACACCCTATGGAGCTCAGCTCTGCTCTGACACACATGGGGTCGCCATGAGTTGGAATTAACTTAACAGCAACTGTTTTGTTTTTCGTTTTGCCTTTGCTCTGGCTTTGCACCCAGAATCTGTCTTTGCCCTTGCCTGCCTTCAGGGCTCAGCTCTAGGTCCCCTTTCTGCCCCAAAGCCTTTCCTGAGTATTCCAACCGCTCCCCAGAAAAGACACACGCAGGCTGTACTGTGCAAACCGCACGTTGTTGCGTCAGGGAAACCTTGCACGTTTTCCTATGAGAGCAGGAGGCGCGGGTTCCCACACGGAGAGCAGAGGCGGCTTTTACTTTCCCTTGTCACCTGCACGAAGCCAGGCAGAGGGAGGCTCTGTGCAGAGCAGTGGGGCAGATCGACCTTCTGGAGTTGAAATCAAGAACGGAATCTACAGAGACAGAAAGCAGATTTGTGGTTGCTTAGGGCTGTGGGGGAAGTGAGATAAGGGGTGATAGCTAAAGGGTACAGGGTATCTTTGTGAAATATGAAAATGATCTAAAATTAGCTATGGCTGCACAAATATACTAAAAAACAGGGCACTGCGCACTTTAAATGGGTGAATTGTTGTTTTTGTTGTTGTCAGCGGCCGATGAGTCAGCTCCCCTCCAGCCCCCACCGACTCATGGCAACCCCATGCACAACGGAACTAAAAGCTGCCCATTCCTGTGCCATCCTCATGACAGGCTGTGGATCAACTTGTTGTGACCCATAGGGTTTTCATCCTCTGATTTCCAGAAGTAGATCGCCAGGCCTTTCTTCCTAGTCTGTCTTAGTCTGGAAGCTCTACTGAAACCTGTTCAGCATCATAGCAACATGCAAGCCTTCACTGACAGACAGGTGTGCATGAAGTGCATTGGCCGGAAATCGAACTTGAACCTCTAGCATGGAAGGCAAGAATTCTACCACTGAATCAGCATTGCCCCAAGGTGAATTGTATCTCAGTAAAGCTGTTATTCAAATAAAAAGAAACACACACACAGAGTGGACTGAACTTCACTTCCTGCATCATGTTCTTCTGGGAGCATACATGACTTCTGTAAGCAGAAACACAAAGGCTTTTCTCTAAAGCCGGCTGGCTTCCAGCGTTCTCTCAGCTCACCTGCTCATAGCCTCACTGGGCACAGCTGACAAGCCCCCATCCCACCCACTGCTGAGGGAACCACATCACCCCTTACTCTGCCAAACCAGATTCTGAAAGACCCTTGGAACCTCCTGCACCCGCTTCTGCCCTCACCACCCACCCACGGCAGGGAGCCGGGCCCGCCTGCCCCTCTTAACAAAGATGCCAGTTCCAGGCGGCCACCTCCGAACGGCACCCGCAGTACTCCTCACACTGTGTGCTGTCTCCCAGGTCCCTTGGCAAAGCTTCAGTGGAAACACACCAGGCCCTGTCTAAACTGTTCTCTTTCAAAGGATGAGGTGAGAGTCCGGGGCCAGCAGGCTGAAGCCGGCAAGGTGCTAAGGTAACATAAGGTGAGTGAGAAGGGACTTTGAAGGAGCTCTTTCACCTACAGCTTACCATCAAGGCATGGTCGGCGGGAAGTGATGGTGGGGGCAGGTGTGCCCTGGATGGCTTCTAGCACTGACAGCCCCACAGTCAAAGTGAAACATCCTGAAGAACTGAAAGTTATTAGTGGGTGGTTTTTAAAAAAAAATTTATTCCATTTTATCATTCAACAATACAAATGAACTGCCAAAGGCAGAGACTGGGTAAGTCTCTTGTGTTCTCCACGGTACTCCAGCACCTAGCACGATGCTCACACGACGCTGCAGGCTCTCAGCTGATTATTTCTTTATTTAACCTTGCATTTTGAAATAATTACAGATTCCCAGGAAATTACAAAGAAATGTACAGGGAGCTCCTGGGCACACTTCAGCTAAGCTCCTCCAATATTAACATCTTGCGTAACTATAGTTGTACAGCAATGGGCTCAAACAGCAATGATTGTGAGGATGGTGTGCATCGGGCAGTGTCTTGTTCTTTGGTACATAGGGTCGCTAAGAGTCAAAACTAACTCAACACAACTAACAACATCAACAGTAACTAGACTATAATATCAAACAGGACCCTGACACTCGTACAATCCACAGAGCTTATTCAGATTTCACCAGTTATACATGCACCCTTGTGTGTGTGTGTATGTGTGTGTGTATGTGTGTGTGTGTAGCTCTATACAATTTTATCACATGTATAGCTTTGTGTGGAGCCCTGGTGGTGTAGTGGTTAAGAGCTCACCTGCTAACCAAAAGGTCGGCAGTTCGAATCCACCAGCCACTCCTTGGAAACCCTATGGAGCAGTTCTACTCTGTCCTATAGGGTCACTATGAGTTGGAATCGACTGGATGGCAATGGGTTTGTTTTTTGGTAGCTTTGTGTAACTACCTCCCATCAAGATACTTAACTGTACCATTACCATAAGGCTCCCTGGTGCTATCCTTTACAGCCCCATCTCTAACCTCTGGCAACCGCTAATCTGTTTTTTGCCTCTGTAATTACATTATTTCACAAATGTTACATAAATGGAATCATGCAGCATGTACCCTTTTGAGATTGGCTTTTTTTCCCCAGTTAGCATAATTTTCTTGAGGTTCACCCAAATTGTTGTGCGTACCAACAGTTTGTTCTTTTCTGCTGCTGAGTAGTATTCTATGGTATGGATGTACCACA